ATATATCACATATATATATGTGCCGTGCACTATATGCTAAGATTGTGCATATAGTATATGCACTATATATTGCACTAAAATATGCTTTTATTCATATTCTTATGAATATTGTTTTTGAATATTGCTTTTGAATATTGCTTATGAATATTGCTTTTATTTCTTGTGAAGAAAAGCAATTTCACAAACAATTGATTGGACAGTTTCGTGTTTCTGGCAAGTTTAGAGTTTTAAATGTGAGTCAATACCAAGTCAGAATGTGAGGAATATTTTTGTGTCAAGAAACTAATACGAGAACTTTGGCATTATTTTATATGCAAAATAAAGTTTTGTTATTAAAATAAGTAAAAGTTTTGTGAATTTTCCTCAGAGAGACATCCTTGATGTTATCCAGAAACCACTTACTCAAACCACATCTTTCTACAACAAAAGCAAATGTTTTGGCCTTGCTGAAAGGCGAAAGCTAAAAAAAGTTATAGATGCCTTAGCTGTGTCTTGGTCCTTGTGTGTTTCTGGGAGCATCTTCCTTCTCTCCTTGTACATTATGTGCTCCATTCATTCCCTGAAGTATCCTAACGCCTCTCTGCTGGGCTCACTCCAATTTGTTAACATGTCCCTGGAATTGGGATGACCTAAACTGGATATAGCACTCCACATGTGGCCTCATCAGTGCCAAGCACAGGGAAACACCACCTTCTGTCTTCTGGCTATGCTTTTGTAAGTACAGACCAGTGTGTGGTCTGTCTTCCTTGTCACGACAGGCCAATACTCAGCTCAGTCTCTATCAGGAACACCAGACCCATTTTTTCCGCCCAGCCCGTCCCTGCCTGCTCACCCCAGTAAGTGCCTAGCCTGTATTAATGACAGGAATTGGTCCTCCCCAGGCACAGAACTTTGCATTTGTCGGTGTTGGATTGCACAAGGTCTTTTAACTCATCCCTCCAGCTTCGCAGGGTCTGTCTTAAAGGCAATCCTATCCTCTAGATGTCAACTTTTCCCCCAATTTCTTGTCATCTGTAAACTTGCTGAGTTAGTGTGTACAAGCTGAATTGGTGCTAGTAATGGATTCTTCCTCAAATGCCTACTATATGTATGCAGCACGCTGTTTCCACTCTCCAAATTACTGTTGCAATTCTGTTCTGTGTTGCCATCCTGCTAGACGTATTACTACTTATCCATCCTTGTGCAATGCAGTTAAACTGACTGAAGCTGAGGCACAATCCAAAGGCAAGGTAAGATGATAAAATCAAGAGATTAACACCTGGTTGAGTATAATGATCATTGAGTAATATTTTTAAAGCCTGCAAGGTGCATTTGCAGAGGAGAGTCCACCTCCTTGCATCAAAATACACCCTTGCTCCCCAGGCATCTAGGGCTCATTAGTGCCACTGCCATTTTACAAAACGCAATCTGTGAACTTTCAAAAAGTGCCTCTGGATATAAATGTCCTCTCTCCAAATTCATGTAGGTTACCAAATTTCTCTTACTGCTTGCTTGCTTTGAAACGGTCATTTCTGACACTCATATTTAAGAGTAGCAAATCAGAACACAAAATAAGCATTTCATATTTAAGGCTGCATTTTTAACTGCAGTTTAAGATCGTTAAATCTTCCCCAGGAGCTGCAATGTAATGGATTTGTTGTGATGGTTTTTAACATATGGAAGATCAAGATCAAATTCTTAAAATATTCTGGAAATCTGTTATAGCTTCACCAGTGACTGTGGTTAAATATAATACCTAAGTAACTTGCTCTACTAAAAATCAGGGCCTTCTTTTTATCAAGTAATGTGGAAGACATATGCTAAATTAGTTGAAAGCTCTTGTAGCCGTAAGAGTTTCAATTCTGCAATTCTGAATGGCCTAATTAAGTTGATGTAGCCTCTTTGTGCATTTTCCTCACACAGAATTCTTTCTCTGATACTGATTAGATCATGCAGATTCCAGAAGATTAATCATTTGAAGAAGCCACACACAATAAAAATGGAGGAGTTGAATAGTCACATTGTTATTTCCCCTGCAAAGATGAGTCTCATGTGGACAGGGTCAGGCTGTGATGGGCAAACAGGAGTAAGAAATAAAAACTTCAAATTCTTTCATATAATTATTCTCTTCTTAACATCATAGCACAGGCATAGCATAGGTCTAGTTTAAGATTGCTTTGCAGCTATTCCAAGCATCCTTTCACCAGAATGCATATTCCATGTCAGATTAAAAAAGTTTGTCTTATGCATGAGTGGTATACAAAGCAGGGTCAAGTTAAGTATGGAGCAAAGCTGAAACTTTCTTTTTGATTGGACGAACAGCAGCTGGAATGTGTGCTCAGCTCTTTAGTAGACTTTCAGCAATGACTTTTTGCTGCTTTCCTCCTATTCCACTAAAATGATTCTGCCCAAGTAAACTGACATGGACCACATGCAATTCCATCTGTCCATTTTAGCCTAACATTTTCTCCTACTGTTACAGAAAGCATGAAGTTTGGGAATGTTGTAATTTAATGTACAATAATCTATCATGAAAATAATATTGTGAAAAATAACTGTGCTTCCACCCTGATAAACCAAAACTGGCCATGGAAGTGCATGAAAATGGATCCTGTATTGCTGTGTTTCATTCCATTGCCATTGTATTCCATTGCCATCTCCAGCTTGCCCCATTTTTACCTCATCTTTGTGTTGCTTTGTGTTTGTCATCTTTGTTCTTGATCTACTTTATTTTTCTAAATGGTTGGCAAGTTTGCTTTGTGCATGATTCCTCTGTAAAAAATAATATTATTTGTGCAGCAAGTAGGTGTTCTTTCATAATTTGACAGGCACTGATGACTGGAAACAATGTTGATTATCGGGATCAGCTGCATTCATAGAGCTGCTTGTTGTAACAACCACTGCCACTGGCATGGAAAAAAAGAGTAACACGAGTCATTTTGTGCCCTTACATTGTTTCACTGCACTGAATGTTGGCCAAGACTTTCCAAGATTGCTTGTGATTCTAAGTGCCCATTTTCTGAGATGCTTTAGACTTTGACACTCAGAAATGAAGACATCATGTGCCATTTGGACAGACAGGAGAAAGCTTTTCTTTTTGCGCGTGCCCTAAGCTTCCTGAAAGTCACAACTGAATGCATCTTTAATCATATGCCAGGAATATGGATCAAGCATGCGCTGCATATAGACTGCAATGCCATGTTTATTGGCCTTTTTAATAAAGGCCAAAATATTGGCCTTTTTAATCACTTTCTACCACAGTGATGTCAGCTGAAAGATTATCACCTACTGCTGCTCATTGCTTGCATTTAAAATTAGGTAGGTGGCTCCTCTGGTCTTTATTTTTCCTAAAAAGTCTTCGGAGTCATTTTTAGGAGGATTTCACACAGTGATGGTGGTGAGTGATAGCGTTTAGTAAAGAGCATTATCCTTCCAGTAGGTAAAGAACAAAGAGGAATCAGTCCTTCAGGAGGTCACAGCCTCCTTCATTAATTCCTAATTAATTAGCTCCTTTCTTAATAGTCCACTGCTGGGATATTCATGCCATGTACGTGTCCAGTGCTCTAACACTCTAACCTACCTCATGCTGACTCTTGGACTCTTTGCCAGTGGCTGGCACTTAAACTTCCATGCAGAAGCATGCATACAGAACAGAGAGCCCAGGAAAACAGTTAGAAATGGAGTTCAATAGAAGACACGGCATGTGTGTGCTCTGGGAATATTCAGATATACACAGGGTATGTTCAGCATCTATTCTAAATTTAGCACCTTCATGCTGTATTTTCAGTCAAGGAGACATGTATCATGCACTTAACATGTGATGATTACTATACAGCTAAGAATAATTATCTGACTAGGATGCTCTTTTGAATGCACTGGACAGCATCTGACTCAATTTATTGCAAAACTGTTCAGAAAATCTTTTCATTTATCTGCATGTTAAATGTCAAAGTTTCCCCTTTCTCTGCATGGGCCTGGATCTTGTAAAAACATAAGCACCTGAACTTTACTATTGTGACTGAAGGGTATAAGGAGCTATTCATCTATGTTTGCGTGAAAGTCATGAGACTTTCACTAGTTAATATTGATACACTGCTAACAAGGATACTTTGGAAAGTGAATGTTTGAATGTTTTAAGAGCAGTACAAATCATCACTGGAAAACCCATCTGACCACTGGTGGTTTAAGTATTTTATGACACTTATCCAGCACTGTTTAACTGTGCATTTCAGTCTTGAAAGGATGAGTTTCACAACTCACAGTTTTAAAAAGAAATACTGAAAGGGAATATGTCAGCCAAAGATGCAATTGGGCTTTGGTAACATTCAGGAACTGAGTCTTATTCTTACGATACCCAGCCTGGATTTTTTTACTGTTATCCACTAGACAACTTCTGTTCGAAAGGTTGAAGAAGACAAAAGAGTAGAAAGTAGAAACATTGGGTAACACCACCTGCGAAAGCTTAAATTCTGTAGATATTCAACTCTAAGCAACTAGTTGCAGAACCTTTCAAAATAGGGCAACACTGGACTATCTTTCCTTAAAAGAACCTGGTGTCTGCAGACTGCTCAATTTGACAGCAATACATAGTGCTGTATCCACATGCCAAACATCTCTCAACCACTACACCACCAGTTGGACGTGATGTGACAAGTTGCTCTCAACATATGGAAAACAGAACTTATACTAGTTCCAATTGGTTAGGGGAGATTTTATCCAAATCTGGATTTTCACTTACAACATGAATGCAGAGTGTCTGTTGCCCCTATGGATTATTTAATGAGCTAGCACAACACTCATAAATTAAGTGTTCTTCACTGGACATATCCTCTAGGCTCAGCCTAGCAGATATTCTGAGTCTAAAATGCTGCTACTGTATGCAGGGAACAACTCCAACATAAAAGCTTACCACTTTGAACATTGAAGATAGAAGACTCAGGTTCAATTTGCCTTTCTGTCTTAGAGGATCCAAACACATGTTTTCTGTCAAGTCAGACTTGTGCTGACTGAGGAGTCATTCTTCTTGTTGAAGTTACATTTGTTCTGTAGAAAGGAACATTTGTTCGTTTCTGTTAAAATTTATTCCATTCTGTTAAAAATTTCATTTGCTAGCAGAAGAACATAAAGGGGAGCACTGCTCACATCATATCCCATCTGTTTGACTATGCTAATCATAATGGCTAAATCTCTTTGGTTTTTGTGTAGCCTAGCTTTTTAAACTAATTCTGCTAACAAGTAGCTTAAGCAAAGAGCAAGACAGCATATACTTTTATGCTGACGTATTCACATATATAATATCATTCTGTTCCCACAGGTACATCCTTTTTTTCTCTCTCAAGTGAACCAACTTCTGCCAGGTTTAGTTGATTATGTTGTTCCTGATGATTGACTTGTCTTGTCACTGAGTGCTGATCCTGATGGTATATGTTTCCTTTGTTCCACTTGCTTCTGAACACTTGGAAAAACTTGAAGTTTAAACATTATTTTAGAATATTTATGTAGGCAGGAATATGTGCTTCTACTTGTGCATAACATGTTCTTCTATTTCTATCATCTCATGCTGAATTCTACCACATCTAGTACAAGGGATGAAATAAGAAATCTATTTTTTATGCAACTTTTACATCCCATACCTAAATGATGCAAAGATACAAGAAAGAGGATAGGCCTCTCCTTACATTTCTGACCTGGTCTGAATACTAGGGAACAGCACTGTATTTTGGTTATAACACAGAAAAGAAATAATACTAATAATGGCACATAAGACACCATTGATAAAAAAACTCTATACAAGCATGATTAATCTTAAATCTACAAAGGGAGAAAAACAATGTACAGATCAAATGAACTGAGCAAATTTAAGCTCACATAAATAACAGAGCAGTTATAAAATTCAGTACTTAATCTTATTCATAATTTCTTCCTTAGATTAATTCTTCTAATTCTCTTCTATGCTGGTTTCACTTGCCTCACATACAAAAGGGAAAGTTATAAAATAATTTATGAAGCACAATCTTCTAACTGTGCTTCATAAAATTATATTCTATTTTGACATATATTGAAAGATTTCTCAGAAGGAAAAAATCTCAGAATTGGTTCTTCTCTGCCCAAGCAGTGACATGCACAGTGAAGCTTCTGGAATTTTGATACGGTAAAAGTACTCTGATCAGATCAAGGTCCACAGCTCTGTTTCTCAACTATTTGCATTCTTCTCCTCCTGTTTGTTGTCAGCCATCATCTAAGCAAACTAATACAGATCATGTAACTGAAGGCAAAAGTCTGAAGGTCAGTTAGGTACGTCGTTGCCAAACCAAGATTATTTTTGATAATTTTCTTTTAATAACCTCAGTTCAGATTCTGCAAAGGACACCTGCAAGTTACATAAGCCACCAGTAGCAGGTCAAACAATCTAAACAAGGGCAAGCCTTTCTCACTTTCTTTTAGTGGCAAGATCAACTATGCAAACAATTCTACAGCATATTTTCAAGTTATGAGTTATGTCATCCTTCCAAGCAATACTGCACTACATATAGAAACAAAAAGCCTTATGCATATCACATCATTTTCCTCTTCATCAGAAATAGCTTATGATCCAAACAGCGTTTCGCATGTAGCTTTACTCCATAAACGGTAGCTTTTATGCTTCTGATCTATGCAGTTGCCAGACACAGATCAAGTACCTGGCAGATACTATGTCATCCTAGCTCATTATTTACTTTTCAGCAACAACAACAAGAAGTTAGAACACTGTTAGAAAACTGTTAGAATAGATACAACTATTCTTGGGAATAGCTAGGAAAAGCTGCAATAATAATTAAAAATATAGCAGACTTTTTGAGAAGGATAAAGTCTGGCAGACTAGTAGAGTATTTATAATGTCCAGAATTCAGTACCATTTTAGCCAGAACTAATAATTTTCCCTTATGTTGCTAGTATTTCCCTTTTCACAACTGAACATACAATCAAAGACCAATAGGTAATTGTGCTGAAATTTTTCTGTATAATCTACAGTCTAAGAACTGAAAACACATAACTTCAAACGTCAAAGGTAGTAGGATGCAAACAGAAGCTAAATTCTTTTCTCAAAATTACCTGTGGTTTTGTCAAAATTGGCTGTGGTTTTTCTCAAAATTGCCTGTGGTTTTGTCAAAGTAACAGCAAATGTTTCTAGAATTTAAAAGAAGAAATACCAACATTTTGAGATTTTATGTAGCTTATTACAGGATGTTTAAGGGAAAGGCAAATGCAGGAAAAGGGAAGAATCAAAGTGGATTGAGCTTGAGAAACAAGCATGGGAAAATACATGGAAACGGAAAAGAAGCCAGCTGCTAAAAACAAGTTGCTGATGATATTCTTATCTGACTACACTCCGTGTATATCTGAACATGTCCAAGGTACATACCTGCCCTGTCTTCTATTGAACTCCATTTCTAACTGTTTTCCTGGACTCTCTGTTCTGTATGCATGCTTCTGCATGGAAATTTAAGTGCTAGCCACTGACAAAGGGTCCTAGAGCCAGTATGAGGTAGGTAAGAGTGCTAGAGAGCTAGACATGAATGCCCCAGCATCGGGCTAACCAGCATTAAGAAAGAAGCCTTCTCTAACTCCTTTACCTGTTGACACAACTCCTTAACCAAAGAATGGCAGGAGATGTGACTGTCAGCCCAGGATTTACAGAGGCCCCAAGCACTGCCTGAAGCCCAAGACCTGTGGAGCTGTCAGTGTTGGTCTGCACTGAAGCCTCTGATGCAGCTGATGCAGTTACTCCCGCATCCACTGGTGACCATGCTCTGCAACATCATGACCATTTTAAAAAACAATCCTCTCTGGCACCCTTCTGCATATACTGCTGCACATGCTGCTGCGTCTGTTTGCTGTCTGTTAGCTGCGCAGCAAAAAATAGTTTTGTTAACTTCAGAGGGACTTTAGGAACATCATGAAGTGAATAAGTATTCTGATTCTTTATAAAAATTATAAAGATTTAACTTTACAGTTTCCCCAGAATAGAAATTTATAATCTTAACATTTATCAAAGTAAATAAAAATCACATTGAAAGAAGACAGCAAATAATTCGATTTTTAGTACACTTCCAAGATCTGCTCTTGGAAGTAGAAAATTTTGACAATACACAGAAAGAGATTATGGATTCTAACACTGCTCTGCCAGGATCCCAAAGCTTCCTACAGAACAGAACTGTGGAGTACAGAAATCCACTTGGGACCTTTGCTATCTCAGCCACTTGGCTGCAGACCTGACTGTTTTGGGGACTCTGAGAACTTCAGCTAGGATTTTTCTTGTGGTCAGTTTCCAGGTTGAAGGATTGTTACCTGTTTAAAAAGCCTGAAAGTACAAGCCAGCAAGTTTCTTTCTTCCTCTTTCCTCCAGGGTTGTGAACTTTTAGCTTACTTTCTTTTCTGAAAGGATTAGAGTTTGCCTCAAAGATGTTTTACAGAAACATCTAACTAAACATACTATTTTTTTCCCCACAGAACCATTCAGTCATAAAAGATACAGACATTAGGCAACAAAACATACCTGTTCAGAGTTCAGAGTTCAGAACACTACAGAATCCTTACTGAGTTGTTCATTTGACAGACTTGTTAATAACAATTATTAAAATAAAGCTTAAAGATAGCACACTAAAAGTAGAAAAAAAATATAATCATTGTCACAACCATATTACTTTCGGAGATTTACAAAATGCAGGAGGTTAATGTATTTTTTCCATTTTGTAACATTAAGGGTAAGATGTAGTTTTTTATACATTTTATTTGCTAGCCACTGTGACTTTCGAAAGACAACTGCAACAAATTACGTCTCACTTAGTCTAACTTATTCTAATGAGACACTAAACAGCCTTTAAAAAACAAACAAACAAAAAAAAAACCAACCACTCAAAAGTACATTCCCACTAACGGAAGATCCTATTCCTACTACAAGTACTTAACTATGGCAATACTTATGTTTCTGTAACTAGGAATTAGTTACATTCAAAATCTTTCAGAAAAAAAAAGGAATTCCACATTAACACTGTACTAAATCAGACTGCAAGAGGCAAAAAGCAAATGCCAACATCCAAACAGAGAGAGTACACATCTTTTATTATATTATTCTTAACACTGCAACACATGGTCATCGATCACAGCCATCAATCTGCAGAAAATCTACAGAATCTCAGCAATCTCATCCTTTTTCAATATGGTTCACCTTGCTGTTGCACAAAATTCAGTGTTTAGAGGTGAGAGTCAATGTTGAGGATACTCGGAAGATCTGTGGAAGCATATTACTCAGCTGGTAAAACATTTCCTCAGAAATCGTCTGGAAAACAAAAGTAAAACCAGATCAGTATCACCTCTGACTGCAGTTGGAGGGAACTTTCTAAGCTTTGCTTAGAAATATTTATTAGTATTTCTGTTTTTCAAATGCCAGCAATGCTGTTTAAGAATATATAATACTATTTAATACATTCAAAAGCGAAAGGCTGACTAGAAGTCCTGCTGGCATATTTTTATGTATATATGTGTAACTATCTCCAGTAGATTTCCTGTTCTATTAATTGATTATTTCTGCCTAGCAATAGTATAATAGCACTGTTTGCTGTTACCTACATGACTTCTGTATTCTGAATTTTCAAATTAGATTCAAGTTCAATACTTAGTTTACTCTTAGCTTCTCCTTTGCTTAGTGGGTTCTACTTTGTCAAAAAATATACCTTTTTTATTTCCTAAAACAACTCTGATTTTTATATGACTTCTAGGACTGCTTTCAGAACAAATAAACAAAACTAAGCACTAGTCACCACTAGAAAATTTTCTGTTTCCAAAGATCAGCTATAATCATGAATTCAATCATTTCAGTACTTTAATTATCAGAATCACAGAATGTTTGAGGTTAGAAAGGACATTTAGAGAGTATCTAGTCTGACCACCCTGCTCCAACAGGGACTCCTAGAGCATGGGGCATAGGGCGGCAGCCAGGTGGGTTTTGAAGACCTCTAGAGAAGGAGAGTCCACAACCTCCCTATGCAGCCAGTTCCAGGGCTCTGTCAGCCTCACAGTAAAGAAGTTCTTCCTCATATGGAGACGGAATTTCCTGTGTTTCAACTTACACCCATTGCCCCTTGCCCTGTCACTGGTCACCACTGAGAAGAGCTTGGCCCCCTCCTCCCTACATTCACCCTTCAGGTACATATTTGTATTAATCAGATCCCCTCTCAACTTTCTCGTCTCCAGACTAAACAGGCCCAGCTCGCTTAGTCTTTTCTCATATGAGAGATGTTCCAGTCCCTTAATCATCTTGGTTGCTCTCCTCTGGACTCTCTTTAGAAGCTCCACATCCCTCTTATACTGGGGAGCCCAGAATTGCACACAGTACTCCAGGTGCAGCCTCCCCAGAGCTGAGCAGAGGGGCAGGATCCCCTCCCTTGACCTGCTGGCAACACTCCTCCTGATGCAGCCAGCATCCCATTGGCCTTCTTGGCCACTTGGGTACACTGCTGCCTCATAGTTAGCTTGTTGTCAACCAGGACTCCCAAATCTCCCTCCGTAGAGTTGCTTTCCAGCAGGTCAATCCCTAATCTGGTTTCTGGGGTTATTCCTTATATATGGGGTTATTCCTTATAACTTGAAACTACTAAAGTCATTAATGATTTTGTGGAAGCATGAGTGTTATAGCTGGATCTCAGTATGTTGTAGCTTTCCATAATGCCAAATAATGTACCACTTAAAGCCTAAAATCAAGTAATGCAAGGTTAGTCATATCTCTTCCGAAAAAATACCAAAAAGTATCTCTTTCAAAGGTTAGGTATTCTTTGTTAGGTGGATTTGCAATTTGAATTTTTGGCACCCTCAGAAGTTTCCACAGAATATTCAAAATATCTAAAATTCTTTTGTTCTTGTTTTATAGGTATGGAACCAAGACCTCAGTTATAATTTAAGTTCATATGGAAAATGCAGGGTATAAAAAATAAATCAAACCTAGATGTATGCTGAAATTTGAGTTCTTGTTTTGCTAAGTTCCCTACATTAGATATGATCTTGGTATAATTTACCTGTGGCACCAGGAATTGTACAGTCCGAGAAATTCCTCCATCCCATGAGGCCATTTCCATCATGAAACCTAAAATCCAAGTATTTTTATTATGCATTACATATTTAATTTCAAGTACACTGTTTTCAAGCAGTGATAGAGTTTTCATATACGATGGAATTTTAACCACCTTTTCTAGCAATGCAATTAATCACAGAAATCACAGCTGCCAAATTGACTGAAATCTGATCTTACTGGAGAATCTAATGCGATGGAGAAAAATCAGTATATTGTTGAGGAAGCAGAATATGCAGTCCTACTGCACAACAATTTGCTGTCTATCGCAAGTCAAATGTTTCTCTGGAAGCAACTCTTACGAGTTCTTTTAATAGCTTACTTTCATTGAGTAATATCTTTCTCTTTTAGCTCTGATCTGATCAAATCCACATGAGGTAGAGGAAGTCTGAAAACGCTTTTGCTACACACATACTGAAAATCTATTCATTCCTCATTTGGCATTTCTCTGTAGGCATTCCCTAACTATAGTCAATGAACTACAAGATAGCTAATTATAGTCAACCACAATGTTTACAGGCATACAATAATGATGAATAAAAATATTTGTAGAAATGCTTAACAAAACAAATACATGGATATTACTTTACTATGAATCAGAGAAGGAAGAAATTACTGAATAGCTGGTAGAAAGAACAAAACACTATTAACATTTGAGATGCTATAAACATTGTTTAGAATATTTAGAATATGTAGAACATAAAAATGCAATAAATAATAAAACAATTTCTAGAGTTCAAAAGATAAAACTGAATCATGAGTATTCCTGAGCAAAGAGATGAATTAGCATGTTCACCAGTCTTGGAAAACAAATATGGGGATCACTCATTGTTTGAGAAAATACAAATATAAAAGATTGAGGACACTGTAGAGATCTACCAGACCCTGCCCTTCTTGGGAGATTGCTTAAAACAATGGTGAGGATGTTTTTTCCTCCGTCCAATAACTGTATTTTATGAGTTGTAAAGATACTTTCGAAATACTTTTAGACCTCATTATGATTGTCTGAGATTATTTCCCAATGCTTAAATCAGGCCCATAATAGTTAAAATACTAATATATTAATATTAATAATTAATACTAACAAAGATATATTAAATTGTGCAATATATATATATATTTACACTAAAATTTAACAAACAGTAATCTCACGTAAAATACTTTCTGGGGTAAAGTGTGCAGTTTGAGATGTCTTCAAGTGCAACACGGAAAGACACATTAAGCATTGACAAACTAACATACCTTTGACACACTTGAAGACAAGCTCTGCCCTCTTCAAGCACCATGGAATAGTCATTTCCTATAAATAAATAAATATATAAAGACCCCAGACATACATCTCTAATCTATCCCAAATGGAGTAGCAGGATAATTAGAAAAAATGCTGCTGTAAGACAATGTGTTCCTATCAAGTTATTCAAGCAGCATGACAGGTAAGGAAGAGGGATTCTATTTTCCAGTCCCAGAACAATCTGTGTATTTTTTAAGCCGAGATTTTGGAACAGAAATATTACTGATAGACAGTCCTATTAAGATATTTGGAAATGAGTCTATTCAACTCCTCTGTGGAGGATCAAAATCAACAATTTCCAATTTTAATACAGAAATATGCACGAGAAAACAAAATTGTTGTTTTACATATGTTTTCAAATTTACACTTTAAATCACATTCCATTCCATAAAGCTAGCATTTGTTGTGGAATATATTAAACAGTGTGCATGCAGTCATTTCAAAGAATTTCAGGATAAAAAAAAAATATATATATACATATATGTATCTGAAAAACTTAACTAAGAATGCTGATTGATAAAACAAGTACTCTCATTGGGGCTACCATCAAGAATTATCTCCAAAATATCTTTTCTAAACTAAAAATATCTTTTCTTAAAAACCTTCTTTTATGATACAAATCACAGCATGAATCAATTCTGCTTTTAGGTTATACAATACATGAATCAGACAGAACAATGTTGGACACTTTAATTCTTAGGTTTTCAGGAAAATACTAATCTTTGTTATAACTTGTCTGCCTACATGTGCTTTCCATCACACTCGAGATAGGAGTTACTTTGAAATCTGGTTTAGCTTAAAAAAACCATTGTCTAAAAAGAAAGGTCTCCTTACGCTGAAGTCAACTTAGGAGGATACTGAGTGATCAATAAGGGGAAGCAAGCCTTAAAAGGACTGATAGAAACAGCAGGATCTGACACTATGCCTTGGATCACTTCAGAGGAACATAGATGTTAAGTATTGTGGAATTGGGAATAACAGTTTCAAGGCAAAATGCCACCGAGTGCAAAAACTGAAAATGACACACTAATGATTCCTATCTAATTCTTCTTTAAAACCTAAGTTCTCATGATTTTGACATGTCAAGAGTTTTTCTCCTACGCTAAAGAACAGTTGTGAAAAAGCTCAAGGATCAGATAAGCATGAATTCTAAATACAATACTGGGGATAGGGAAAAAAAAAAAGTACTTTCTATGACGAATTTTTAGTTAATGGCATCTTATCACATACAGTAGATGCTTGAGATCTTTGGGTCTTGTTCATTAGTAGAGATCTCACTTAACTCTCTTTCAGGATGCAAAGATTTGCTCTCAATATTTCTTCTGCTTATCAAAATGAAATCCAGGTTTTCTAGTTAGTAAGATATGGTGCGTATCTTTTTTATTTATCTAAAATTTTGGCAGACTCACTCCACTGGGTGGTCACTTTTATAAAGTTAAATGCATCCTTAAATGTGCCCTGTCAGCTCTGGTACTTTTAGTGATATCGTACTATTTTCACCCTTTTATTTCCCAGCTCAGTTTACAAGAGATTCAGAACAACAATCAGATAAGTAAATTCTTAAAAATCTTTAAAAAGTTGTTACTCATTTGGACTGAATTTGAACGTGCACAGTTGCTGGTTTGTTAAATCTCAGACTCAGTTTCCATCCTTTTTTAAAATTAATGATCAGCTCGAATATAGTAATCTGGGTTTAACTGTTCTCTACTAATAAAAACTAAGGGAAACAAGCCCCATTTTCTTCTCATAAAAAAACAATACACTAACTTTATATGAAATCTCAATACTACTGAAACATAATGGCTTAGCTGAATTTCATGAACTCGCTACTACTATGAGCTTATAAACAACACTTTCCGTCTAAAAAAGATAATTTGGGGAATAAATAACCCACCCTTTTGGAAAAATAAGAAAGCTCATGATGAATGCCTGTCGCAATGAAGTATGCAAACATCTCCACAGCTGTGCTCATGGTTAACCACTTTACAAAAATGTTTTTACGTAGGTGGTAAGTGCAGACTGAAAATTTGGTCAGCTGAATGCACCTAGCTCAGATTAACTTTCAGAAATTTAACATTATTCACTTCTCATTCAACAATAAATTTTTGTATTTCAAGTGAGATCAGCCAGCGGCAAAGCACCCTAATAAGCAATGCTGCTAATGCAATTATCAGAAAGGTCATTTTCTGCTTGTTCTGCAAATATCTAAGCAAAATAATTTACATAAAGAAAACTGTTTTACTGGAATCTTTTAATAATCTACCACCAGATAATTATACAACTGCTTAGTTTCACATGTCTGAGCAATAAGTGCATCCTTTAATAGCATAATGAAGACTTTTTCTTGGGCTTTATTTGTATTTTAAAATACTTAAGGGCTGTAACTTTCTGAAGCACTGTAATTGGATTCCAAGAATAAATCAGGCTGCAGTTGTGCAAGTTGATTACTGCATTTTTGGACAAGAAAGGTCTTGGTACCAGAGATGAAAAATTACTATTATTATCTGTTGGTAAGAGTCTCAATTTAAGTACAGACTTTGAAATCCTCATTATTATCTATTTTCACCTTTTGCATTTCTTTCTGCATTTTTACATTTCTTGCCTAATAAAGGACCCTAATCTTGCAAAATGCAACTTCTTTTGCAACTTTGTTCAGATCCAATTCTATTAAAAAAAAAGATAAAAATAAACAGTCATTCCACCTGTTAAAAGTGGTCCACTGGTGAGTTTTTCTTTCTTTCCAGACAATGTAATGATGAAATTCACAATTGAAAAAAAAAAAAAAAGGCGTATTTGAAAAAACAGACTATAACTGAACATATGTAAGGTTATCATTAAGGGTAACACTATCTTATTCTTCTCATTTCATTTTGTTAAGTTTTTAGACTTGTCAGCTAAGTAACTGAGGCATATGACTGGTTGTCCACCCCATCCCAGCTCATTTTCTTCCAGTTTGTTCTGAGCCAAATCTGACAAATAAGGAGATTTTCAACAGTATAAAATTTCTACAGACTGAAAAGCTAGACATGAGTCCTGCCCATTAGTGTCCTACTGAAGAGAACAGAACACAAAGGATCAGCACAATAAGTAAGTACACCTGTACTTCCATAGTGCCCCTGCATATGCTGCTTCTTGCCCAGCCAATATTTGAGGGGCATAAAGACAGAGACAGAATTTAAAATGAATGAAGGTGGAATTTTGTCGCAGGAGTGGAAGTGGTGTTTGTGGATACAGGCCTCAATCTCTAAGAAAGCAGGGCTTTTTAGTCCTGTTGCTCAGAAAACTTAGTTCTAACCTATTTTTTTTTCTAGCTAGCAAGAGTGAAAATTGTGGATCTGACATCACTATTGTATCAGCAACTCTAAAGCCACAGTTTCTAACCAAGGGTTGCCTGCCAATAGGCTCATCTTTTAACTTTCTGCCCTACGTTCTCATCACTTTCTGTAAATCTGTAGCAAGCTGGATCAGGACAGTAAAGTGCCCAGAATAAATATTGGGAATAAAAAATGGAAATAATAATAATAAAAAAAGAGGTTCAGTTGCCTAAAATGTTTTTAGTTTCACCATACACATTCCTGTGACAATACAATGATGCAGCAGAAGCATATGACTCCTCCATATGGCTTATACCAGCAAGAAGCATACCCTTTATAAACTTTTTTTTTTCAATTTAGAAAATGAAAAGAAACTGAGTATTCATTTATTTACTTACTTCTGACATATCATGTACCAGTAGGAGAGGAATACTAATTGTAGTAATGTCATGTGTGCAACAAACTTTGAGAATATTCCTCAGTCCCATGATTGCAGGATCCCGAGCAGTTACGTTACCAGATCTTACATTATCATCCACACAGAGATGAAAAGCAACATGAATTTCAGAAAGATTTGAATGCCGTGTGATGTAAAATTCTCCTACAGAATAATATAAACCAAGACAAGATATCATGGTAGTGAACAATATCAAAATACAATTGTTATGCAAATAATACAGACAGTAAATATTAAAACTCCTAGTCACTGTAAGTACAGTACAGTTTTCTGGTACATACTGTTCCCTTATCTTATATAGAACAGGTTATACAGAAGGCAGACACAGCTACACAATGAAGATTAGAGCAGATACATACAGAGATAAAATTCAGAAAACTACTAATCTGAAAATCTTGGAACATTTCTGTTTTACGTTTGTCTTCCATGCAGTTCCCTGCCATGATGCCTAGGATCACTTGTGAGGTACCAACACATAATAGTGCCAATACAGGCGGATACAATCTATATGTGGTAGGAAACAGAGAAAAACAAAAACAGAGGAGGTGTAATACTCAAAATATATAATGAAAGCAACAAACTGCAGACAGATGTGGGAGGCGGAAATACCAAAAATGGATGGGCCAGAGCAAAGGATGCAAAAACTGTGGGGAAAAGATAGAAGGTTATATAACAACTGAGATACACTGTAGAAAAATAGGTACTAATGATCATGAGAATGACAAGTAATTCATGGAAACAGGGAGAATTACTGAAATGCTCGCAAGATGCTCATATGAAATCTTTGACAGAAGTCTTACACCTTCATGTTTTGCTACAAAAAGGAAAGAAATAGCAAGATGCAGTGAAATATGGGTCTCTCCAGCTTACTTTTCTATTGGAGACAGCATCTCTACGCTAGAGCCAACAGAGAAGCAGGTATGCTATATCTCTACTCTATTTAGTCAACAGATCAGTGCCCTACTTCAAATCTACTTTTGCTGGCAACACTATCTTTGCACAGGAATAGCTGAAGCAAAAATATCAACTCCTTTCTCCTGTCTGCTAAAGGGGCAATAAATCCCAGCAATGACCATCTAAAAGTAGTATATGCAATTTAAAATGTAAAATTTTAAATTTAAAAATGTAATTTGCTTATGTTAAGATCTAAAGTAACTATGGAAGTGCTTTTAAGAAACCCCCATATTCAACCACAAATTGCATGTCCTTCTCTCCTCTCCCTCACTACTGAGCATTCCTCTTCAAATCCCAAAGAAGCTTTTCTTACTAAAATGACAATATATACCAGAGATATTTCTTCTTGTAGAAGAACAGATTTGTACACTCTAAGTTAAATATATTTTAAATGCTTTACAGAACCAGAATAGTGCCATACAAATGGTTAGGTTGAAAAAAAAAAACCACATTTAATTTCCATCTTACTTCCAAGGTACTGGAAGATCATTTCCCCAAAAAGAAATTTTAGGCACAGAGACATTAACTGATTTGCTCCAGGTCACATGACTGAGATGCTAGTAAAGCTGGGAACAGAAAATAGATGTCCTGACACTGAGCTCCCTGCCTTACTCACAAGAGCATCCTTCTTCTCTGATTGAGGTCAACTCAGATTTAGTTTATAATTTATGTTCTGAATTTAGAACTAAAAATATGCATTTATAAAACACAATTTGCTATAAGAGAAGGAGGGAAAAAAGCAGTTTTTGCAGGAATTCACCTGGCAAAATGTTTGACTGGTTTCGTTCAATATTCTTGGATTTATCTTCATTCCCATTATTTTTGTTTCCTGTATATAAACACGTAGTACAAATATTAAACACATATGTATTAATTATGCTATGGCATACAACTTTGTACTACAATGATATGTGGATTTAATTTTTAGCATAAAGCTGAGGAAAATAAGGAAGGAACAGGAAGTATTTTTGCTTTCTCTGATTGACAGTGAATTGAGTCTTATTTCAAATCATTAGCTTTCTAATAAAATCATACTATGATGCTTCTTCATGCAGACAAACTAAAATGCCATCTACTCAAACATAAAAGTAAACTTTTCTAATTACCTCCACAACTACCTAAGACTTTAAATAAATTTATGTAAAACTAGCATTACAAAAACAACTTCCAGATTTTTTTGAGACTACATGCAAGTTCCTAGGAAAACTTGCTTCTCTATGTACTGCTATGAATCTATTCAAATTACTGACGTATTTAAACCACAGAAGTAGGTCTCTGCAAGAAAAAGTTTCATGATGTACAAGTACTGCCATAACAGCATGTGGTCAGAAAATTTCTTGGGTATTGGCAAATATAAAAAGGAAGTAAACCATTCATAAGGATTTGACCACTACTAAAAAACATTCGTATTTTAGTACTCATATATAAGAAAGAAAAGTCCTAATTCTTCTTCTGCAAATGTTAAAGCTTTACATTGAAATAGAAAAAAAATCAAGTTAAATTGTATCTGTATGTTGCTACAGAGTTTAAACTGCAGAATAGGATAAGCAAAACAGCCCTAAATGTTTTCCATGCTGTAATAGTGGGATCAGAAGCTAGTTCCTTTTTATTTTATTTTTAATAATTAGGTCTGTAATGTCAGCAAACACATCATGTGAAAATACAAACAGAAAATTTCATGCAAATTTATGTCATTATTTTTCAGTTTCCTTATCTATAAAATGGAATACTCTGACTTACAGATGAAACGAAATCACCTTACCTATAACCATAAATGTTCAGCTGACCACTATTCTATTTCAAGAAAAGTAATTTTGGTTGTCACTGACCATGATGCCTTTTTGACTTACTGCTACGCTGTGCTCTGGCCTTAAGTACAACCTTCTGGATAATTTCAAGTTGTTCTTGAATTCCAGGAAAATGGAAATCCGTGCATTCTTGGCAAACAGTTGCAAAATCTGTGGAGGGGGGAAAGAAAAAAGAAATCACATCATAAGGTGTGCTTGATAATATGACATAATTCTGTCCTGCTTTTCAAGTAAGGCCAGTTGTAAGGGCAAAGAAAACAAAGCAGTCAACACTCTTTGTATTCCACTTAAAAAAAATGATTTATAGCAGAACAAGAACACTTTTTGAAGTAACTGGACTAGTGGAAATAAATTTTCAAATAGTACTGTTACTCTTCAGAAATAATCATGTATACAGACCAAACAAACGAGTAACAGCAATAACATTTAAGTGCATTAACTTATTATATTCGGCTTTAAGAAGATGTTCGCTAATAACAGTCTTTCCATCTGAGACACTTTATTAAAACATATATAATAGATGTTTTCAAAAGCAACTATTGCACTCATTTCACAGAACAAGTAGGAGAGCTATTCATTAAATGAATAAAAAGCAAATCTGGAAAGCTAGAAACACAAACATTTCTTTTCAGTTCTCAAAATACAGACCTGAAAGCTAAAGAAAAATACTATCATCTGGAAAGAGCTTAAAGTTCCTTCTCCTTATAAGGAAGTCCAAGGTTAGGTTTTGAAAAAATATACTGATAATTAGGATCTTATCATACTGTCTCTGCGATTAGTGTTTTGGTGCCCAACTTTGTTTCCATGCAAGTCAATGGAAGCCAAAACAAATCATTAGGAAGAAGCTGGATTACATAATTGCTACTTACTTCTCATTTGAGGGTATCTACTCTAATCTTCCATAAAGTATTCAAAGTATTCCAATTGCCTATCTGAAGAACATCACACAGTCCTGTGAACAGGTTGTTACTGGAACAGGTGAATTATAGCAAAAGTCAAAATGTTTTATCTTTCTACATAAAAATAATATAGATAAATGCTAGATAAAAAGTCTATATTGTAACAGTTCGAATGCAAAAATAAATATAACTTTATATTTATTTTCTATAATAAATAATTTTTATATTTAATATAAAATATGTTATTGAATATAAAAATTTGTATGCAAAAATAAAATTCTGGCACATAGTATATAATTAACCCTACTGTAGCTTATCATTTGTTTAGAGCATACCTACTCTAAATATATATAAGGAATATGAATATATAAGGAATATATAAGGAATATGAAGGGCTTCTGAAAGAGGTTGTTGTGCCAGGTAATGTGTATAAAAATTAAGAGGAACTACTCATCTAGCTTGGAAAAACAGTCTGAATGGAAGTAGAATATGACTTCTATTAGTAGAACTGAAGTATGGAAGTAAAATTAAACTTAAATTTTCTGCTCAATACTGTTTCCTAGAGATGTCTACTGGCACCAAGTACTATCAAGATCCAATTTCAAAAGTATAAACTTGAAAGACACACAGATTGCCCAGAAACATATCAACATGCTGGCTCTCCTTTTCTCTCATATGCGGGCTCTCTTTTTCTCTCATAGAGTTTACTACTGCCCTCTGTCAAATGCTCATATTCTCACCACAGAGCAGACAGAAGCAGCAGGAAGAGGAAGAATTCCCCAGACCTCAGTTGCTGCCTGCAGTCATTCAAGGTCTTAATGCAACCACATTCATTTTGATGATTTAAAGTAACACATTCAACTAGGTCAAAGGAGCCAAGACATGACACTGATTCAGTTCTCGGACATTTTTACAAAGAATGGGGTAGACAGTGTAGAAGATGTAGAGGTTAAGTTCGCCAAAATTCCCTTAGAACTCAAAGCTTGAGTGTTAAATTTTGGAGATCATGATACATTTACCGTTTAACAACATTATTTATTAACAGTATTACTAATATGTCTTATATTTATGAACCTAGACTTAGGAGAAAATTTTAGAATAAAAGCAACCTGGAAATTGTAAACAGCACACATGCACATATAATTTTTACCAATAGTCTTCCCTTTACAATCCTGTTTTCACACTGTATTGGACTAATTCATGCTAACCTCCCCACCTCCTCTCCAGTTCTTCCAAGAGTTCTTCCAAGGCAAATAAAATGCCTGTTGTTCAGTTTTATGGAAGGCACAACGCTGGAGATTTTAAAAACACCTATTTTAACATATGTACAATCAATTTGAAGTCTTAGCTTTGAGAATTTAACTCTGATCTTTGCAAATAGATTTCAGTACGCTGGACATACATTAGAGTTTCAAGGCCCATGGAAAGTAAATTAATTTAAGAGAGGCAAATCAACATCACATAGTCCACTCAAAACACATTAGCACTTCTGAACTGCAAAAGTCAGCATAGAGACCAGGAATATCAGTTCAGTTCAGCGTATCAGTTCAGATTATTTAGCACAAATCTATCCCTGTTCTATCCTTTCATGCAAAACATGAGGTTCTTCAGTAAATTTTAATTTTACAGGGAATACTTTTTGGGAGAGAAGACAGCAAATGTTACGGAGTGACATTTGTGTTCACTGACATGATATACCCCATCACATGACTCACCTCTTTTGATGCCACTGTATGAACTTATACGGTTATCAACTAATAAAACTAGGCCACAGAGAGAAGTTGAATAGAGAGACATTGCAGTTTGAAGTCTGTGAAGTTTTACTCCACTTCGATGATTACGCTTATGTTTACAGAAGTCTAACATATCAGCTCTCAGTAATCTTAAATTATGCATGGTCTTCAACTGAGCTCCTGTATGAAAAGCAAATTCTAAAATCAGTGAAATATAAAATGATTTTAATACATACAATAAGGCAAGAAACTTGGAATTGTTATTAAAGTAATTTTGTCAGAGATCACAATGTTTCTCTAAGTCCTGTGAAAAAGACCAATACGGGAAATAAAAGTTCTTAACCAGTTTTTAATTGTTAATTTTTTAATATGAGCAATTAAGAAGATTTAGTAAGAATACAATATTTTCACAAAGTACGTCATAAAATCATAGAATGCTTAAGGTTGGAAGGGACCTCAGAGGTCATCTAGTCCAAACGCCTGCTCACGCAGGGTCACCTAGAGCACATAGCACAAGGCTGCGTCCAAGCGAGTTTTAAAGATCTCCAAAGAAGGAGACTCCACAACCTCTCTAGGCAGCTTGTTCTGTCACCCTCACTGTCAAGAAATTTTTTCTTAAGTTCCTATGGAACTTTTGGTGCCTCAGCTTGTGGCCGTTTCCTCTAGTCCTATTGCTAGTCACCACGGAAAAGAGGCCGGCTCCCTCCTCCTCACCGCCTCCCTTGAGGGATTTATACACACTGATCAGGTCCCTCCTCAGCCTTCTCTTCTCCAGGCTGAACAGGCCCAGCTCCCTCAGCCTTTCCTCATAGGACAGATGTTTCAGGCCCCTGATCATCCTAGTAGCCCTGCACTGGCCTCTCTCCAGCAGCTCCACATCCCTCTCCAGCAGGTCAACCCCTAATCTGTACTGGTATCCAGGGTTATTCCTCCCCAGAGTCAGATCTGTACATGAAATGACCCACTTTCTCCCCATAAGGCAATGAAAGAAAGACTTGTGCAAGCAACACCAGACAACTTAAGAAGTCTCTACTGCATAAACGTAGAGTAAGTACTACAAACATTTGTTCTCTGGTAATCTACCTTGGGAATTCAGTTTAACTCCCACTTTTTCTTATTAACCTTATCAAAAGGTAAAATATATATTTTAATCACTGCATGTTTTGATGGTAGCATTCTTTTCTACACTGATCACTTTGTTAGAATGGATAAAAATGTGTCTGTAGAATATTCTCCATGAAGTATTTTTCAGCTGGCTAAACACTGTTTAATACTGCATACATAGTACTGCACCTCTCATATGGGAAGAACAAATAAAGCAATCACAAGTGCATATGATATATATGCAAAGACCCTTAATATTATAAATAACATATAGCTTAAATCCATTGTTTATGACTTAATATTTGGCATTAGCTTAAATTTGATTAGCATTTGTTATTACATCTGGTTTTAGGATAGATTTATTTACTTACCTAAGTGAATAGTAAAACTTTCTTCCAACAGTCTTTGCTCTTCATAAATTCTTCCATTTACTTCCATGGATTCTCTCAACTGACTGGGCTGAACCTTAATTTCATCACTAAAATTAAAAAAAAAAAAAAAACCAGCATGCACATTTCAGTAGGTTTCCCATTAGATCATCAACAATTTATAAAAGTGATGCAAAGTCTGCTTCATTAGTCTATGGAAACCAAATGGCTAAGCCTATCTGAATGAACTCCGTTAATCTGCTCTCTTGCACTTCTGATATGCAACACTTCATCTGAACATGAGCAGGAATAGTAGACTCCACTTACATTATGAGTCTTCTCTGTAAAGTATTGTGAGATTGAGCAATAAACATCATAATACCCTATTATAAAATAATACGAAGAAAATACGAATAAAAAACCAAAATAACAACAAAACCCTCCTCTTGGCCTATTTAAAACACCCCAAATCTTAGTTACAAAGTTGCTAGATATAAGTTTTCCCACCTGCAATGGAAAGCAAGAAACAGCAAATTAAGCTCTCTACAGTGTTAAAAAACTAACAGGAAAGATTTTAGATATCTGTTTTACTTTGTTTTGTCTGCTAATAAACGACACTGTGACACTTCTGTTATATGAAAGAACATAAAATTCCCTCCATTTTTTCTTTGTTTTGAAATTGTCTGTCATCTTGAAAAAGATTGTGTCATAAACTTTTTAAAGCAATTTCACTAACAGCAAATTCTTTATGATCAGACACAACTGATATGCACTCTTTAAAAACAAACAAGAAAAGACAAATCAACCACCAAAAAGCTCCAGTTGATCAAACAAACAATAAAAAACAAAACAAAAAACTTCAAGCATCTAGTTATCCTATCATTGCCTTTATGCATATTGTTTTCAGATGAGGGGGCCTACAGTTATCAGGACTCAGCACAGATCATTTAAAATGAATACAGATGGCCATTGACCAAAACTGACATTCAAAATTGTGTTAAGTCAAAACATCCAATTACTTTTTCAAAAATACGTGCCTCTGGACCACTAGCTGTCTGCTTCTTCCACATTTCAGTTCTATTAAATCCACATTATTTTCATTTTACACACTATAGGGAGAAAGCTAAAAAAGAACAGCATTCTTTTTAGCTTCTTTTTCCTTTTTTTCTTTTCGCTTTTTTTAGATTTTAGCAAGTTTATCTTCTTTTCTCTCTTCCCTCATATTCCATATATTCAGCTTCCTTCTCTCCAAAGGAAAATGTGAAAGCATGAATTCACAGAATCATTATAGTCAGAAAAAAACTCATCAAGTCCAACCATAAACTCATCACCATCAGGCCTGTTCAAACCACGTCCTTAAGAGTCTCATCTACACATTTCTTGAACACTACCAAGGATGGCGACTTCACCACTTCCCTTGGCAGCCTGTTCCAATGCTTCACCACTCTTGTAAAATTTTTTCCTAATATTTAACCTAAACTTCCCCTGGTGCAACTTGAGGACATTTTCTCCAGTCCTATTGGTAGATATTTTTGAGAAGAGACCAATCCCCACCTCATCACAACCTCCTTTCAGGTAGTTGTAGAGAGAGATAAAGTCACCCCTGAGTCTCCTCTTCTCTAGACTAAATAATCACAGCTCCCTTAACTGCTCCTCATTAGGTCTGTGCTCCAGCCCCTTCACCAGCTTTGCTGCCCTTCTTCAAACACGCTTCAATGTCTTTCACGCAGTGAGGGGCCCAAAACTGAACACGGTATTTGGGGTGCAGCCTCACCAGCACCCAGTACAGGAGGATGCTCACTTCCCTAGTCCTGCTGGCTGCGCTATTCTTGATGCAAGCCAGGATGCCATTGGCCTCCTTCTTGGCCCCGGGTGCACTGCAGGCTCAAGTTCCGTGGGCTGTCGGCCAGCAGCCCCACATCCTTTTCTGCCACGCAGCTCTCCTGTCACGCTGCCCCAAGCCTGTAGCGCTGCGTGGGGTTGTTGTGTCCAAAGTGCAGGAGCTGACACCTGACCTTGTCGAACCGCATGCAGTTGGCCTCAGCCCATCGATCCAAGCTGTCCAAGTCTCTCTGTAAAGCCTTCCTACCCCCAAGCAGATCAACTCTTCCTCCCAGCTTGGTGTCATTTGCAAATTTGCTGAGGATGCACTCAATCCGCTCGTCCAGATCGTTGATAAAGGTATTAAAGAGGACTGGCCCCAACACTTATCCCTGGGGAACATGGCTCATGACAGGCCACTGGCTGGATTTAGTGGAGATTCATCATCACTCTCTGGGCCTGGCCATCCAGCCAGCTTCTCACCCAGCAAAGAGTACACCTGTGTAAGCTAAGAGCTGTCAACTTCTCCAGAAGAATGCAGTGGGAGACTGTGTCAAAGGCCTTACTGAAGTCTAAGCAGAACATGTCCACAGCCTTTCCATCATCCACGAGGCAGGTCACGTGGTCATAGAAGGAGATCGAGTTGGTCAAACAGACCTGCCTTTCATGAACCCATGTTGGCTTGCTCTGTTTGTCATGCACATGCTGTATGATCACTAAGATGATCTGCTCCGTAACTTTTCTTGAAACTGAGGTCAGGCTGACAGGCCTCTATTTCTTTGCATCCTCCATCCGATTCTTCTTGTAGATGGGTGTCACAGTAACAAGTCTGCAGTCGTCAGGACCTCCCCCGTTGACCAAGACTGCTGACATGATAGACAGTGGCTTGGCGAGCACTTCCATCAGCTCCCACAGAACCCTTGGGTGAATGCCATCTTGTTCCATAGACTTGTGAGTATCCAAATCTTTCATATTCTCTGCCTGCATCCTTTCACCATTGACATCCACCTTGTTCAAGGACACCATCTTTCCCATTGATTCCTTCCAATACCCACTTTTAACATTCTATTCAAATACACTTTTCTTCTAATACAAGGCATTATAAAGCATCTGGTTCTGCTTTAGTCTAGTTTTCAAAGAACAGCAAAAGAGGTGATTATTAAATTCTTATTTCCCTGGTATTTCCTCAGTTAAGACACTTTTCTTTAAACTCTCAGCACAAGTCACACAAAAAGATTCAGTGATTATTAATTTTAAGCTTATTAATTCAAAATCTGAGATGATTATTACAGTTTACTAAACTGCATTTACTCTGCAGAGCCTCCTTAACTGATGACAGAAAGCACTGTGAAATATAGGAGAAAATAATAAGACAAAAGCAAAACAAAGAAAAAATAGAAATCCACACAGCTCAGCAAAAAAAGTGTTTTAGTATATCTTTTACAGAGTGAATATGATGTTGTACAAAAAATGCATAATGAAGAAATTTCCAAAAGTATATATTTCATTTATTACTTTTAATTTTCTATAAATTTTATATCGATTGAATAGCTATTCTTAAAGAAGAAGTATATAAAAGCAAGCCCTGTAAATTAGCACATATTGAAGTCCACAGTAGAACTAAATACCTGATTGAGCTATTGTTGGGATTCTTTAGGTCCTGATGTAGTTTCATCACCCACTCCTGATATTCCTGCTTCTGGATTGCAGTAGACTGTTTTAATTCATTGGTCCATTTGTTTTCCAAATCCTAAAAAACAGGCAGTGATAAATTGAGTGCTTCGGAGCTCGTTAAGACATTTATTTGCATGATCTATTTTAGTTTACTGAACTTAGTTTACCTGCTGAGATTCAAAATGCTGAGCTGCTAATGAATTTACATCTTGGTCTGTGAGTGATTTCCCTAGCTCCTGCATCACTGTATCCATTTCTGCTCCTTGTCTGAAAGAGAAATTAATGCAGATTGCAACACAATTCCCTTTCACAAACTGGGAGACGAATGCAAATTGTTGTTGATATAGTCACGCATATGACGACCAGTTGTATCGTTTAATTTCTCTATATTCATCAGAAGCAGAGGTACAAAACTGAACATACAGCTGGAAGATATCTTTGTGGTATTCTGTCCATCTGCTCTTTCAAAATCAGAGTCCACATGCTCATTAGTTTGTTCCAAGAGATATTCAGAAGAATTTAATACAGTCTTCCAGGCACTCTATTCTAGTGCTTACTATTCTTACTATTAGAAGGGTTTTTGCTAACATCTGGTCCAAATTTTCCTTGCTGAAGTTCGATTACACTCTTTCTTGTCCTGTCTATTGTCCTGTCAGGACATGGAAAAGAAATAATCAACAGCTCCTCTTAGCAGAAGCAGCCCTTTACATTGAGTAGACTGGGGAAGGGGTCCAGAAGAGAAACATGGCCTGCAAGTGGAGCAGTGGGGACTGTAAAAGAGTGCAATAAGTGAACAGTATTTTATAAAAGCTATCTAGTCAGACATTTAATGCTACTAATGTTATGGATTTTTCATTATTTTACTCCTTTGAGGAGTTAATGATTTGATCCAGAAAAATATTTTAAAAGCCACTGGACACACGCGTATCAAATTTTCAGTCTGAGTACATCAAGAATATTTTTCATTTACTGAAAGCCAGTTTTATACTAGTCTCTCAACTATCCAGTTTTACATATTTTCAATTTAAAATAGCTATTACATTTCCAAAAAGCACGTTGCAGAGCCCATGAAAATCACAATATCAAATTCTTAGACACTAAAGCCTGTTAAAGAACACAAAGACCAATACCAGGTTTTATCCCCTGTTCCTCAGTAGATACGATAACCTACATAAAACAGCTGTTTTGAAATGGTCTTTTGTTTGGATCTATATAGTCCTTGGATCTATATACTCCTTTTGGATACTTTGGATCTATATACTCCTCTTATAGTCCTTTTTCCTTCAATAAAGATGATAGGGACATGTAAGTGGACAAAATATGCTACTGTTTTTAATAGATAAGCTTCCAACTGAAACTATATTCAATAACAGAACTAAAGGATTTGTCCTTCCAATAATTTGTCCTTCCTCAAACTTCTTAAATTTCTGGCTTCAATCTTTGACATTCACCACATTCTCCAGCAAGTAATCACTTTTAGAATAGCATAGCACTGATTTAGCAAAGAATGACAAAAAAAAAAAAAAAAAAAAAAAAAAAAAAAAAAAAAAAAAAAAAAAAAAAAAAAAAAAAAAAAAAAAAAAAAAACGTTGAGGGTCAGGGCTTTCAATTCAGCTCTGTGTAAAGAGAACGACACCTACATCCAGCATAGCCTCAGCTGCTCCTGATTTGATAGAGATTCATGATTTTGTCAAGTACTCACAGTCAGTTTCACTGGAACAAATACACAACTATGCTCCATTAGAACTCTACTAACTGTCTTACTGCCCTTAGTACTATGCAGTCTTTCTTCCACATGCATAGCTAAGCCAAGATTACCATAAGCAGCAAGCACTTTATGCTATCACACATAACTGGCATTTTTCATCTCCAAACGTAAAATTCATATCATATTCTTATTTTTCATCTCCATATGTAAAATTCATACATTGGAACACTGGAAAGAAACTACAGAAGAAGATATTTGCTGTAACTTCCGATTTTAAGCTCATAGAAGAATACTGCCACCTGGAGCACTAAAACATACCTTCTTAAGATATTCTGCCATCTCACAAGCATTCTAGTGTTTGTAGCTCATATCTATACAGGTCATATCTATACAAATCATCGTATATACAGCCAGTGTTGTGCACCGACATTTAAGACATTCAAAAGACATTAAAATGAATTAAAAAAGAATACCTTTCTCGCAGCTTTTTCAGTTCCACATCTCTTTCACTTATTAATTCTGAGATACTAACAAAATAATTGTGTTCCAGGTTTAATAGTGTCTCAGAAGCTGGAGAATGTATCAGATCATGATAAACATTTGCAAAATCTTCATCCCAACTGATTTCTTCAGGTTTTGCATATTCCAATGTTGTCTAAAAATTATAAGAGATTTTAAAGCATACGGTATGACTAAAGGAATCTCTAATAAAGGTAAGGCAAAATCAACTGGGTATTCACATGAGGAATGACACCTGAACAACTCCTGTGCCTGGACGGTGAGCATCCTTCCACTCCCTTTAAAGCGGGATACCAGGCTAAGGTAACTCCTTACAATTTTGAGAGTCCCCTATACATTCAGTGTATAGAAATGTTAGCATTTTCAGTTCCTTGAAAGGTTGAGAGGCCTCTGTACACACAGGGTGAAGTTATGCTCTAGTATTTTATTTTATTTTTTACTTCGTTTTTTCTTTTCTTTTTTTTCCCCTAGGATAAGCAGTGTATTCCATTCAGTGGCACTAATTACCAGTTGCTAATTACTAATTGGCAAGCCCAATCCTGTAACAATTGTGCCAATTAATGGTGGATTTTGTTATCAAAAAGATCTTGCACTGGTGAACAAAACCAAGTAACCAAAATCCAGTAGTTCTTGCTCCTCTGAATTATCTTATTATCTCCTTAAAGGAGCTAGCATGACATTGTTTAATAAGGTGAAAAAAAGAAAAAAAAATCTTTACCCATTCTCTTTATAACACACATTTATGTTTTGTAATACTTACACTTTTGGTGATATTCTTCTCTATTCCATGAAAAACAAAGCAAATTCCTTTAATCTTTCCCTCCAAGGCAAAAATTTATGTCAAACTTACTCCTCTTGACTAGGACTCCTTCAGTTCATTCATGCTCTTAGAGCACTACATGGAAAACTGTACACATTACCCCAACTAAAGCTTCATCAACACTCCACAGCATAAAATAGCTGTATAAAGGCAGGACGTGAGCTAAAAGATTTGTTCCAAACACTCACTTTCTCCTTCGACAGTTATTTTTTTTGCATTTTGTGGATAGCCAAAGCAAAGCCACTTCAGGCATACGCAAGTCTGCATCAAAGTTAGCATATTGTGTTCAGTTGAAATACCTCTATGATGTATGTTAAAGAAATTCAAGTGAGAGTACCACTTTACAATCTTTTCTTTTATTCTAATAAATCTAAACTTTGTGGTATATTTTTGTTTCACTGTCATTAGCCAGTTACCTCTCTGTTTTGTATCTTTTGAATATATTACTTTTTTAAATTGGTAAGGAGGTACCTTCAGTAAAAACTCAACTGAAAACATGTAAGATGAAGATTCAGTGACCACTTTGGGATAAAAAAAAATATATAAGAACTGATCAGTAAAGTGTCTTTCAAAGTCTGTTTACATCTCCACAGATGTAATTATATCTGTGCATGCACACACACGTATACACACACACTCATATAAATCACAGCCTGAATATTAACTTTTCAGTCTTAATCTTACCTCTTTATAAGCTTTAGCCCAAATATCTACCAGCTGGTTTATATCTATTTCTCCTGATTTGATAACTTCCAGAGACATGTCAGCTTCTTTATCATAATCCTTTATAGTTTCCTCTTCTATGAACTTATTAAGTGACTGCTTCAGATCTATCTTAACAAAAAGAAAACGTTTCATCAACAAAACAATTTCATTAGAAATATCAATCTAGCAAACATACAAAGTTTTTCTGAAAACCTTGTACTGGGGCAACTCTCTTGCTAGTAGTAACAGTCTTTTTCACTAATATTCTGTTGTTAAAAAACTAAGGATGGTTCTTGAAATAACTTTCTGCTTCTTAAAACATGTTATAATTTATTCATATATATATGTATGAGACACTATTTTACAAAATCAATTCTTACCGTTTTCTATAACGCATGGTAGATGGTGCAGAAGCATTAGATGTCCATGCAGGTGACTAACATTCTCCTGCACAGGGAATTTTAGAGGCACTGTAAGTAATAACTGTTGATTTCCAGCATTAAATTTGTATACAAAGTCTCTCTCCCTAGTGCAGGTCTTTTCTTTGTTAGATTTCATCTTCTTGAGATTATTTCCTGGATTAGCAATGAGAACACACGAAATTTTTTTGTTTTGTTTTTGTTCTTTCAAAAAGGCTCTATTACCTTGTTCTAGGAAAAAAAACCCTTAAGAACCAAGTTTTCCATAAATATTCATCTAAATGTTGATATTTAGGTCCATTGGTAGGAATTAACCAGTTTCCAAAACACTGAGTGCCTCCAAGCTGTAACCAAGTGTATCAATACATGTATTTAGGTAGCTAGTCTTACAAACTGCAGTTATAAGCCTCCTGACCTAAATGCAGGACCAGAACAGAAGGAACTAGGATAAATAATCATTCTTAAATGAGACCCTACACCTGCTGCTATGCATGTCACAAAATCTTATATTCTTGTAGAGTGCATTACGACTTTGTTTCCTGCTTTGCAAAGGCACACACTTTTTTAAAAAGAGATCTGGGGGGAGTGGAAGATAGTATTTTTTATTATTATGTATATTTATACATTTTTTTTTGGTATAAGATTTTGTAACTTTGTGACTTGCTTGGGGGTGATTTTTTATTAGCTTTTAAAATATCTGAATAAAAGTAACCAAAAAGAAAAGCAAGATATCTGTCTACAGCCTAAGTTTATGCTATGGAAACCCTTACCTGTAGCAGTAATTCTTCTGTCCTCCTGCTCATTCACATTAATCTTTTTTTGAACATTATGTGCAGAACTGGACAGGTTACTCCAACTGAAATCTCTCTCATACTATAATCTACTGTCCAGAGAGATTAAAACTGGAAAGAAGAAAATATACTTTCTGCAGACAAACTCATTGGAATCTTTTGTTGTTGTTCTTTTAAACACACCTATATTTTTGGAAAAAGACTGATTAACAACAACAAATATTAATGGAAAGTAAAGTTAAAGCAAATCCACTGCATGGCCTGACACAAAGAGGAATTCAATTCAAATAGCTCATGAACATCTTCACGCAAAACAGGTTTAATGGGGAAGAAGAGTACATGACAATAACTTCATTCTCTGACTCCAGTGCAACGAGTACCTCGCCTGTCCTTGAGAATGGGACAAATCCCTTCTATGACAGCATCACTGGCACCCTGAAGTACACCTCAGGCTCTGGGGTGCCAGGCTCGGCAGCCCTGCAAAACAGAACCTGCGTCTGCTCCCGTTATCAAAAAGAGAACGCTGATAAGAAGCACTGGAAGAATCTCCTCGATCTCCCTCGCCCCTTCACAGAAAGCCCCAAAACCCTACAGCCCCACCCTATGTTAGGGGACTTTAGGCCGAGGCGGAGGCCCGAAAACCAAGGTACCGCCAGACCTCCACGCAGCGACGCCGGGGCTCGGGTAAGCCGCCTGCACGCGTGCCGCGAGGGACTGGCAGCGGTATTCGGCGGCCCGCCGTAGGGCAGGAGTCGCTCTCCCCGCGGCGAAGGGTGGGGGCAGAGTTCCCTCTGCTCCCAGCTCACCGGGACACCGTGTAGGAAGGGTGGCCGGGCAGCGGGAGCGGCCGGCGCCGCGTGGCGCTGCCCCCCAGCCGCCAGAGCACGCAGGCGACGCCGACCTTGTCCCACACCTCCTGCCGAAGCTACGCGTCCGCAAACGCAGATTCGGGCACGAGGGAGGGACCGCCTCATCCTTTCCTCACTGCTGCTCACTTTGTGGCGAATGTGTCGAGTTAGCGACGCGACTAGCTCCTTGCTGCCGTTTCGAATCCGCACAGGGAGGGGGAGCAGTGTCGTCATCGGGCGCGGCGCTGGAGAAAGAAGCGCGCGCGCTGCCCGAGACGCGGGCCCGCCGCGCGGAGCGGAGCGGAGCGGGGCGGGGCGGAGCGGAGCGCGGCGGGGCGGAGCGGAGCGCGGCGCGGCGCGGAGCGGGGACCATGGCGCAGCCGGTGCGGAGGTGCGTGTGGCCGCCCCGTGCAGTGCGGAATGCCCCCCGCACCTCTTTCCTGGGGATCGCTCGCCCCGAGAAGCGCGGGGGACCAGCAGAGCCGAGAGATGTTTCCTCGAAAGGCTTCAGTGCGCGCGCAGCGAACGTTGCCTCACGGGGGTCCATTGGCGCAGTCAGAGCCAGCGGAGTTGGGGAATGGTCTGTGATGTTCCCCTTTCATCTAAACACTGGGACTAACGGCAGTGCGAAGCAGTAAACAGTAAACTTAAAACCTTCGTGGAGGGAACATCTTAATAGCAATAATTATGTAAAGATTGTAACATACCGTTCTCTCTCTTTTCTCGTAATTTACCCAAATTGAGTAAATCAAGACTGAACACGAGAGAATTAATAGTGTGTCTTTTTTTACTACAGGAACAAGAAGACTGTTGACTACTCAGAATTGGGGGATTTGTATAATGATGGTAAGTGGTTTGTTATTAGCCATGCTAAAAAAGCGAAACACAAAAGCACAACCATCAAATGTATTGATGGATACTCTTTAATGATTTTGTTTTTTAATGACAGGACTGCCATGGTTGTTGCTGAAAGTAATTTTGGCACATTGTTATAAACCCTAGTTCAAGAAGGATATTGATATGATTGTAGGCCAAAAGGACATGATTGTAAGCCAGAATATAAGAAAAATATGCTATAGCACTGGTCAATATACTGTGTCTTGTTATTACAGAAAAACAGATTTCTTCACCTTTTTCAGTTTTCAGGGATAATTGTTTGTCCAGTGTCTTCCTGATGATCAGTTTACAGAGTTGTAACTCAGAATATAATGCATTTTTGAATCACCTGTATGTGGTTACACTTTTTCCCATAGATCTGTATTATGATGGTTCTGGAGCTTATGAAGACACAGAGGTCAAATTTCAAGTTTCAGTGAAATAAAATATGGACTGTAGACAAACAGTTTTCAATAATGCTCTCCTTTGCCTCTCCATGTCACACAGTTTCTGTAATTATTTTTTTGTTCATGTATTGTTTGCAAGAAAAAGAGAAGAGTTTGAGAAGAGGGGAAATCAATACTGTTGAAGATCCCTTGTGAGTCATGTGTATAATTCAGTTTGTGAGTGAGCATTTTTAATATTACAGAAGAGTGTAGTCCCTTTTCTTCATATTGCTCAGATACTTTTTTCTTTTTATTTAAGAAATCTTAACGATTTGCACATCTGCATTTGCACAAATTTGCACAAATTTCACAACATTTGCACAAATTTCTACATCATCTAAAAAGCTGTGAAATGTATTTTATTTTTCTTTATTTTGCATTGTGATCAGCAGTGTTTTCAGTCAGAAGAAAGGCAGCTCTCAGTTCTTCTATTTTCCACAAAAATTAGGGAAATATGTTAGATTTGGTAAGAAATAGTATGAAAATGGTAATAAAAGGAGAAAAAAATACTTTTTTTTTCAGAGTAAGAGTCATTTAAAGGACCATTTACCAAAATGCTCAAAACTATAATCATTGACAGTGATTACTGTTGAAATGATCATTGTTCATTGTCTCAAAAGCTGAACTTTCAGTTATTGGAAATCTGGTAAAATTGGAGATTGAAGCTTAGTTTCCATATGGGTAACAAAAAACAAAATTGTCAGCTCTTAAAAGAATATGGAAAAGAAATGGTGTTCATTTTTCATTTAAAATACATTTTTAAAACATTGGATACTTTAAAAAGACAAGTAATTTGAAATGGACCTAGGTGCGTGCAATTGTTTGGTATATTTTCAGTGTATAGTGAAATTAGTCTGATGGCTTTTTGCCACAGTAGAGTCTTAGTGGAGTAAATTTGTTAAAGCTTGTTACTCTTTCTTCAGCAGATGAAGATTTTGCATATGTAGCTGTACCTTTAAGCAAAAAGTCCAGAACACAGCTCAAGGAACTGAAGAGGGAGAAAAAAGAGAAGCAGAAAAAACTACACAGAAAATTGACTCCATCACATAAGGAGATGCCCGGTAAAAGGTGCGAGATGCTGAGCTATGCCTAACCATATATGAAGCAGAAACTGGATTTCCAACAGCAATCTTTTTTTTTTTTTTTTTTCCCCTTATTTCCTAGAATTTTAAACCATCAAGAGAACTAACATGTTGATGTGATAACAATTTCAGATTCATTGGTAGAATTCTGAATCGAAGATACTGTGTTTACACTAAAGTCAATAAAACGTGCCCAAATATAGTATGAGCTATCATTTACACTTAAGAGCTTTTACAGCTCCATAAAACTGCCTACATATGTACAGAAGCAGGTTTGTAATTAAATTATGAAAGGTGGTATCTGATCATATCTTGACATTTCTACAATGCAAAGCAATACTGTATAATTTGGATTATTTCAAGTCTCCTTAGGATCCCAAACTGAGAAAGATAAAAGCTGTCTAATTAAAAAAAAAAATTTGATAGAAAATATGTCTCCAATGGAAAAAATATAATATTAGGATGGTATTTTTTTGAATAAATATTCCATTTCAGGACAGTTTTTCAAGCAAATGTAAAAACATTTCTCAATACCACGTATTATTTAATGTATGGAGAGTGCTTCATAATCATAGTACTTTTCAATATGATGTGTTTTAATTATTAGCCTATCAGGGTGCCTGAGACTTTCCAGGAAGTAATTTATAGTATGATATGTTACAAAGTACATATTGCATGCTAATTTTTGTGCAGGCATTTGAATTCATAGTTAAGCAAGTCAAAAATAGCTCTGTTCATCATTTCATAGTTTTGTTATGTAGCATGTTTACTTTTTCAGGATATCCTTGGATGACAAACTTTATCAAAGAGACTTGGAAGTTGCTTTAGCCTTGTCTGTCAAAGAAACATCTGCAAATGTCTGTGAGGTGCAAAACTCAGAAGAAAAAGGTTGTTTTACAGTTCAATATATGTCAGCATTTCCCTTACTAAGCTTCACTTTGCTCACATAATTCAACTAACTCATGTTGACTAGCAGTCACTTCCTGGGTTTTGTGAATTTAAATAAGGACTTTATATGGGTTCAATTTCAGTTAATTTATTTCTTTAAATTTAGAGCTCTTTATTTCAACAAATTATAAATCTTTTAATTCTCTAAAAGATGTATTTGAGTGTTTTCAAAACAAATAAAGTATTGAATTATTCAGAAATTCCTAGATAAAGTGGAGGTGAGTAGGATTCAATTTCATATAATAAATATAAATTTAAACTGTTGAGAATTCAACATAACTTACATGAGACTCGGATTGTTACACTGTATGTTTTGAATACTAAAGGATGATTTAACCTTTTCGGGGAAAAAAACTTTTTTTTTTGCTGTTGTTGTTGTAATTTAACTTTTGTTTCCAAATTATGAAGAAAGGTGAAAAAATAAGTTAAAATTACAAAATATTTCTTATTTCAATTGTATTCATTTTTAGTTAACTGTCTTAGTCTTCATAAAGAGCCATACAACCTTTATTTATTTGTAGTGAGTTTGGCCATAACAAAATTTATTTTACAATATTTCAAAAAATATTGAAAGTAATGTATTTTTTCAGTGTGTCATGATAAGGAAATAAGAATTTTTAGGTGTTTCTTCTGCTCGTGGTTTTCAAATGAGAAAAATAACATTTCTATAAGATGAGCCAAATGTGTAGTTTTTTAAACTATTTTCATTTTTTATTATCTTGATTTTTTATAATATAGATAGTATTATAATCCTAACTTTTTTTTTCCTTTTTATTCTTATTCAGGGCCTATAACAGGTAAGAATATCAAATCAGAAAATGTGCATGGGAGACCCGTTTTTTCCAACTGTGTTACAGAGAGTGAACTTTTAGGTAATTTGTTTTCATATCGCATCTTTTCAAGGAAGTATGTGTAAATTTGCATTTAAATACATATTTCTTGTTTTCATTTATTTCTGTTTTCATTTACATGGGAATAGAATCCTTATTTTAAACTCTGCTTTGTTTGGAAGGATGGGTTTTTTTAGTTAAAAAATTGTTCCCCAGTTGGGAAACCACTACTTCTCAAAAAGCAGTCAGACTGTGATGTTGACAAAATGAGTCAAAACAATGACTTAAGAAAAGTGTTCGGTGTTAAAATTTTTACTGACAGCATTGTCAAAACTTTTTAGAGAAGAAAGTAGTCTCCTTTCCCGCCTTCTTTAGTTCTCAACACTCAGAAAAAGCTGCTGCATCAGATCAGAGGTCAGTTTAGTCTCATATTCTGTTTCTGTCAGTGGCCTATTATTGAATGTCTAGAAAGTATGATAAAGGTCTTCTTTTTACCATGCGTGTCCAGTAATTTTTTACCTTACTGCAAGGGTTATTAGAAATTATTTCTAAGTAATCAGTGAAAGAAAATATCTGCGGATAATCCTAATAATCCCAATGATAGAAAAACACTTAGTAGGAGTGGCAAATGTCTGTTTCTCTTTAATAATCAAATTTATAATTTTTACATTTTTTCCACTGTATATATTCATGACTAAGACTACGTAAAAATCAAAAGTGCCAAATGATTTAGATTTTTTCATATTGCATTTGTAGAACATTAGAATTGTAGAATTATATGTAGAATATAAGTAAACTCTTAAATGCAGTATTGTATGCAATTTGTATCTGGGTGCTGAGTTACTAAAATAGACAGAAATTCCGAAGTATATATATTTTTATGGCAATCATTTTTTTTTGCACGCCAATGAATAAATATTCATAAATTTATTGTATCTTTAAGATGTGCTCATTCTTTATGTTCAGAATATGATTAGAAAACACTATAGTAATATTAAGTAATACTATATTTTTACAGTATTTTACTGTATTTTACAGTAAGGAGGTGGGAAGGTTGAGACCCCTTTTCTTTGCTGTAGGTGAGGAATCGGAAGAAGATTCAGTTTATAGTGAAGATGATGATGAAGACTTTGCTATGAAAAAGAAGAAAGCTAAAGACAATAAAAAGGAAACTAAGCAAAAGAAGCAGGCTGAAAGAGAAAAGGAAAATTCCAAATCCAATATTAAAACTAGAAGTAAGTTTGTACTATGAATTTGAAATTGGCTTCTTTATAGTAGAAGTGTCTTTCATTCCGTGCAGTAGTCACTTTTTGGATATATATCATACTTTAATTATTGGAAAATTATCTTGGCAAAAAGACTCAATAAATAAAAATGGCTAATAAATTGTTCATAATATTTTTTTAAAAAATTCATATGCAAAGTAAAGATAAATGCAAGGAAGGAGAAAGTTCTGAAAGAAAAGGCCTTTTAGTCTGAGGTGCAAACAGAGGAACCTGAATGAACATTTTAATATTTTTTAAGAAAAAACAGTGATTAGAGGATTTTTTTTTTTAAGTTATAATCTTAGGGTCTCTTCTTGCTGTTCCATCTGTGGATTTTGAAATCCAGGAGTGCTAAACAATGCTTAAGCTACTAAACAATCAGGAAAAAGATTAAGGATGTATTCAGAGCTAATTGTCACTCTACTGCAAAGACAAATTACTTTCAGCCAGGTAGTTTAAAAAAATTCTTAACCTAGTCTTAATCGTGTCTGTGACTAGATAATGTATTTTGATTTAGGTCTGGGTTTGCAGTCTGTAGCTTAGTTTAAATTTAGGTTTAGTTGTAAGAAGTGCCTTTGTGGATCTGAAGGAAGATTCTTCCCTCTTAGAAATTTAATACCTATTGTGTCATTACCAAAAAAATATTGTAGTGCTTATTTTCAAACCAGGATTGAAATATCAGGTGTAACAACTGTAACCAAACAGGCTGTTTGGTGACACTCTAGTTGCATGCACTTTCATTTCAATCAGTTCAGAGAGGTTGTGCTGTACTGTTGTGCAGTGCGATGATTTTTCTCCTAAAGGTTAATTTTTCTAAGGTCTAAGGTCTAGGTTATTTTCCAGCTATGTCTTACCTGTAGTTTCTGCTTCATGATAACAGAACTAAAATCTGAAACAACACAGAAAATGATGTCCACTTCTACAGAACCAGTTGGAAGACCTTTGTGCACATCAAGTCCTGTAAGATACAAGAAACCTAAATGGATACCACCAGGTATATGCAAAACTTCAACTATGCGCAGATATATTGGTTGACTTCAGTTTTCAGAAAGTTCCCTCTGAATAAAACAGAAACAAAAAGTGTTTCAGAACAACTTCTGCCCTTTTATAATTCAAGTTATTCTTCTTACCTTAGAATTCTTTGCTGTGCTGCCTTTTTTTTTCAGTATCCTTAATTTCCGTATGTTGGAAGGTTAATAACATCTATCATAAAAGGAAAGACTAAGCTAGCTAGGCCTGTTTAGCCCGGAGAAGACTGAGAAGGGATCTTATCAATATGTACAAATACCTGAGGGGAGGGTGTAAAGAGAATGGGGCCTAACTCTTCTCGATGGTGGCTAGTGACAGGACGAGGGATAATGGCTATAAATTAAAACACAGGAAGTTCCATCTCCATACGAGGAGGAACTTCCTATAACAGTGACAGAGCTCTGGAACAGGCTGCCCAGGGAGGTTGTGGAGTCTCCTTCTCTGGAGGTCTTCAGTACCTGCCTGGATGCCACCCTGTACTCTGGGTGTCCCTGCTTGAGGAGGAAGGTTGGAGTAGATGATCTCTAGAGGTCCTTTCCAACCTTAACCAGTCTGTGATTCTGTGATTTCTCTACGTATCTTTATTTCTAGTGCATGATGCTGGTGCATTACTAAAAAAATATATAAAATATAGTTTTATGATGTTTAAATATGATAGTGCTAACTCTCATGTTTAGCTTTTAGTTAGCTTTTAAATTTTCCTTGCTATTTACCTTCCTTTTCTGAAAAAAAAATCTGTTTGCCGCCTTCTGTTTGCCTTCCTTTTCAGTTGATGCTGTGTTCCCTTCTCTGATTCTATAGGGAATAACAAAAAAATGCATGCCAGATTGCATTTTGGGAACAGTGGTTCTGTAGCTGTCCAACGCTCTATTTTGGTATCACTCCAGTGTGTTGTTGGTTGCATAAAACAATATTCAGTATTTCAATACTTGCTGCATTTGCTCACTAGTTTCCCTGTTTGTATGCTGATTTTCATAGGCTTCTGTGTTATGTTTTTCAGACCATTCTGCAATGTCTTTAGAATATTTTACAAAAGCTACAAAAAGACAGCAGTTGTATGGTTATTTTCTTTCCCTCTGATTCTTTTTCACCTTATTTTTGTTTTTAAATTAATTTCAGCTGCATCAGGAAGCAGTAATAACTCAGTGAAATATGTTTCCATTAAATCACCTACACAATGTCTTAGACTTGGACTCTCTAGACTAGCAAGAGTCAAACCACTGCATCCGAGTACAGCCAGCAGTTGAATGGTCAGTGCCAAGATGCTACTTGAAGAAGTAGAAAAAGACTTTGAAGAAGTGGAAATGACTTTAGGAATGTTTTTATTGCCTCTTCATTTTCTGCTATGCATTTCTAAGCAAAACTTTATGGCATTATCTGTTTGTGGGACAATCATTTTTGTCCATGTCTGAAAGCATAATGAATTTGTATTCTAAAAAGTGTTAGGCATTCTTAAGTGCTCCTGGATAGTTATTTAATCCTGGTGACCTCTGAGTCACAAGGTTTTGATGGATTATTCTTCAAGATATGTGTTTGTGATCATTTTAACTCTCTGGTACCTAGATGTCAAGGCATCACTTTCCACTCTCCAGGAAATACCATCTCTACTTTTTCTCAAATGTAGTTAATATTTGCACATCTTGTAGTCAGGTTTTATTAATTTTTATGTGTTTATATACATGAATTATATTCAGAATGTATTTTTGAAAAAAAAGTAAAATAAATGTATTAATTATGTTATTTGTTTTATAATTTTGAGAGTCATTTCTAAATTGTAGCTACAGTCCTGCAGATATTTTTACATGTGAATACTTATAGGAAGTCAAGATCAATCCAGTCTCTGGTTGTTCTGCTTTTTAAAATCTTTTTTTCACTTTGACATAGTTTTTTTTTTTTTTCCCTGCATTTTCTGGCCCTTACAAAATGTGAATTGCTTTAGCCTTCCAGAGAAAAGTAGGAAAATTATGTGCTATTATATAAAATAAGTGTTAGCTATTCTCCCACTGGGCCTGTCAGGATTATAAATACCAAGTTACAGTGTACTGAGTAAAAAGACCCCTGAAGTCCATTCCCTCAGTATTCCAAATTAAAGCTGCTGCTTCTGCAAACATTTCTTTTGCTGGTGGAATACCTGAAAGGCTCTCTGCAGCCTTCATTAGAGAGTTTGAATTTGCTTCATTAGAGTTAATGTTTATAGCAGAAGAGCTAACACTATGGATATTTCTTTGGAAGAAAAAGAGAAAGAAAAGGAAAGCAAATGATACAGGTTGTTTTGCCTCAAAGAATTAGTTATGCAATTACGCTGAGCTAAACTGATAAATATATTGTGCTTGAACCAAGTCCTCAAAGATTTCCTAGCATGTCAGAAAATATGCTAATACTTGTAGTTTGCAGTTTGATTTTATTTGATTGGTGTCAATACTGTGGAAAACAACATGTAATTTGATTCCAGAGGGCTCACTGATAAAAAAATCATCAAATATTCCATACTATTATTTCGATTCGATTAGATGAACTGTAAGACAAGATTCGATTAGGTGAACTGTAATGTCTGGATTAAATTACAAAAATGAACAATTTTATGGAGATAGATTTTAAATGTGGAGTTTTGTCATTATGGGAAGAGAAAGAAGCAGTGAAAACTGTTTTGATTTCTTCTTCTTTAATAACTTTTATTTACAAATAAAAAAAAACAGCCTAACATAATAGTGATTTGGCATTTGTTTTGTCTTTATTCTTTAGTGTACATATGTTAGAATTAGTTTATGACATTCTTATTGTGTGGAATGGAGAAGGAGTATTAGTATTAGAAAACTCTGATTATTAAAAAGAAGGCAAATTGATTAATTGTACTGTGTCCCATCGATCTAGTATTTTAACTAGATCAATCCTTATTTAAAAATGGGTGAAGGGGAGTTAAGATGACAATTTAAATTGAAAACTTAATGAAAAGTTAAAAAATAAAAGTTACCAATTTTATACCACTATAACTCCCCTGACGTAATAAAGTTGTGAAATGAATTCTGATTTCCTTCTGCAGATTGCACAATTTAGCAACCTAGATGCATAGATCTGTGTCTAAGGCCATTAGTATTTGGCAAGGTATTTACTAAGGGCGGCTATGAATTGTACAAGAACTGAGGGGATCTCTTTCTCCTGGGCTAGCCTGTCTAGCTCACACTTCATCACAGAGATAACAAAGCTGTTTCCAAGTTTGACATTCAAATCTCCATGATTTTGGACCTGTGCTGCAGCTCTTTCTTGAAAGGAAGATCTTGCAAGGTCTCAGGCTAAGAGTTCTTCTTAATCGAGATAATGAACTTTTTTGCCTACCATCCTTTTGCCTTTGGCTTTTTGATGTATTTAGAAGGTATATTTCATCTGTGCACCCCACTAAATTTAAACCAGCTTATGCCCAATTCCCTGCTTCCTTTGTGATTCCTGATCTGCTTCAGTTTTTGCATCCAGGAATAACTAACCTATTCTGTGTTCTTGAAATAGTCCTAAGAACAGTTTTTGATGCTTTCGTATATGCTGTTTGAGCTCTGATTACTAAGTCCTTCCTTTGCCCAGTCTGTTTCTTAGAAGTATGGTCTTGATGGCTTTGTACAGCTGAGCAACTGTTTGGAAAAGCCCTGTGTACCCCATTCCTATTTGAATTCCATTATAAACATTTGCCCAGACATTAAGAAGTATGTCCTAAAGTTTTGATAATTACATCCTGAATGGCTAGGGCCTGAACCACAGGCCCAAGTCAGGGTTGACTTGCAGCTGAATACGCTCTGCAGTTTCAGAAGCACACAGAAGTCACCTGTAAACTGCTTCTGCTAACGTGTACGTAGGCTCATCAAACTGTAACTTTCGTAGACTCTCAGGCAAGCGTTTTTGACCTTGAAGGGACCTTTCCTATCTGAAGTCGGGGCTCTGGCCAGGTCCCAGTGCCAGATGATAAGGAAAGTAGGACATACCAGATATTACTGCTAACAAAGTAAATGCAAGCTTTGCTTATTTTACCTTATAAAAGCTGGACCATCTTACAGCGACTTTGGAGACCTCACTTAGGGGTTGATGCGCCACATAAGACCTCCCAATTGCCAGGAAGGCTCCAACTCCTTGCTGCAACAGGGGCTCCCCAGCAACTGTGGATCTGGATGATGGTAAAGTATTGAAGCAATTGGTGATGTATCTCTTTTTCTTAATCGCTATTCTCTCTCTTGTATAGTAATGGTTAAGTACATTACCTTGCTTATTTCATCCGTAGTCACAACCTGGCACATAGTAAGCTTATTGTTTCATTAGATGTATCATTTCATTTCTGTATTATTTGATATTAATAGTAAACACAGCCGTTCTCTCCCGTGGTGTCTGGTTGTTTCCACCGCCCCCCATCAATTGGCAAAACATATCCTTAGTACAAAATGCTTTAGATTTTTTATATGTAAAATTGCATTTGTGATTCTTTTCAGCCCTTCCACAATTGAAAAACATTATTGATTTTTTTGTTCTTGAAGCAGGATTAATCATGAGTAGTGCCATTAATATGCTTTAGAAAACCTGCTTCTTAGCAAATAATTCAAATGTTAGAAACTTAATCATATCTCAACATTTTGCACTCTCCTGTAAATCATAACTTCTCAAGAACTCAGAAATCAATCAACAGGCTTTTCAATTTCCAACAAACTTAAAAAGATGTCTTATTTGGTTGGATGTCATTCTAAGTAGAAGTATGCAAAATACTACATCACCCATTCCTTTTGAACTGATGAAGCAATATTGCCGTATGTGTTAGGCTTTATTACAGCAGATAGAGCAGAATTGGCTTAAAACACATTAACTGTTTTCTGACACCTCTATTCGCATTCTTTGGGAACTTTCCGTATTCTTCTTCCCTGTGTCAGCCTGCAGTGGCAATATTTCATCTTCTGCCCTCACAAGGCTAGACACAGAAAATTCAGTTTATGGTTTGTCTGTATCTTGTATCATTACGTAAACCAGTGTGAAATGACTCTGAAGGAGGAATAGAATGTTTTCAAATCAAATTAAGGTATCTATTTGTCACAAATATAAGTGGCTTTACAAGATGCATTGCAGTGCAGGAGATGCACAGTAGAAGACAGGAAGGAAGGAAGGAAGGAAGGAAGGAAGGAAGGAAGGAAGG